TTGGTTTGGTGGTGTTGGAGGTGGAACTGCGTTAGAGCTGTCAAATCCACAAGCGGCTCCTGGAATTATACCTAAAGCTGCACGGAGTCGTATTAAGAGAAATCCCATACAATCTTGTTTACAAGTATGAACACTGGAATGTGAGATGTAATCTACACCTCGATTAGGCTGATAGAAATCCTAATTATTTGGTTCAATTTGAGCGTCATTATTTCTATATAGCCAACACTTTCTCGTGCTGAACTTCGAACGTGAGTGGGACGGGTGTGGCTTCGTGACATAGATCAAGAGCAGCTGCTCACCGATTTGACAGCTCCATGCGGTTGTCGGCTATCGCTGGTTAACGCTTGATCTGATTGAATCTAGCCCCTAAATAATTGAAATACATGTATTATAATTGAAATACTTTGCTATAATAATTGAAATAATTATAATAATTGAAATACTTTGCTCTTCATCATGTATTTATTTTGTTTATGCTCTACTCCATTACATGAGACACATCATAGATGAACGTTCTCTGGGCTACAACAATGAATGACTGAAAACTTACATTTTGATATTGCCATATTCTTTTTAGGTATATTGAAATGCCAACATACAATAAATCATTGATATTATATGATGGACAGTGGGCTGGGCCGTTTGAAATTGAATTAGAGAACCTTTCAACAACCAACTACTCACTCATACATAGTTGAGGCTTGTACACATTTTTGATCCTATCTAATCTTGTGGAAGTAGAAGGCCCTTCATCATATTATTTCAGGTCATTCATCTTGGTCATGTCTCGTGTCGCTCCACCTCTTGTTTGTGATGAAGCTGAATACGGTTCAGGTTTTATTATTCATTTTATGTATGTGATGCATTTAGATATTGTATGTCCTCATCTATCCTCGTTGTATTGATTTGGTACCTTTTAAACATTCATAGAAATGTAAAACGAAACATAATTGACTACATACTAACAATTCCTGGGATAGAGCTCTTCTTTAGCGTGGGGGACTTTTATTTTTGGCAGACATTGTCTATGGACAAATAAACAAATGTCTGATTCACATGGAAATAGGATAGGCTGAGGAGTATTTATGTCTGTAATAAAGCCCTTTTGTGGGGAAAACTCATTTTCGTTGGCTGGGCCTAGCTCCCCAGTGGGTAGAACTGGATGCCAAGTGGGTGGGCATATGCCCTCCCAGGCCCACCCATGGCTGCACCCCTGCCCAGTCATGTGAAATCCATAGATTAGGGCCTACCTAATACATGTATTTTAATTGACTGATTTCCTTATATGAACTATAACTCAGTAAAATCTTCGAAATTGTTGCATGTTGCGTTTATATTTTTGTTCAGTATAGATTGGCAAGGTATCAATAATAGGCAGTGATAGGGTATGTGTGAATATTGATGCGTCTCTCCGATAAGCTTTGAGGGTATGAGCATACATCTGAGATATTTTGCTGTTAAGAGTTAAAGCACCTTTGACTTGTGCAGTGTTGTGATGTAAATATCTAAAAGGTGGGTCAGACAGCAATCATAGCATTCCTCGCAGTGTGTATCCATCAGCTTGTTGTCTTTAATCCAACACTCAGGATCAGCTAATACACTTTTCTCCACCTGCTTAATTCCTGTTTCTTTTTGTTTACTACCAATCCCTGTGCTAACCCCGAAGGCCAGCACCAACTGCAAAATATGCAAATCGTTTAGGTCACATTGTTTCAGCAACAGAACTCAACTCCGATAAAGATGGTGAATAAAAAGCTCCTACCTTTGCACTTCATGAACATTGTAATTCAATTGGAATTTAACAATTAAATCTATATTTTAAGATTTTCCAATTCACTATTGTTTATTTAGACTGTTAAGATAAGTAGAGGGACATACTACTCAATAGAAAACCACATAACAAAACACACCCATCATTTAATAGTTGTCCTTTCACATATTGAGGTCTCACCCAGTCAAATGCCCACCTAGGAAGGAATTAAGAAAATGGCCATAGCATATCGGCAGACATTACTCATAGTCTCATATCCACATGCAGTAAGTAAAAAGTCAGACTGAAAAGGCCTCCACACACTCCAGTATGTATTCCTCTGGACCAGCCGCCGTTCAGTAGTAAGTATTCCTCTCAGCCTGAAGAATGTAAACAACAGCAGCCTCAGCAGCACCCCCATCCAGCTAGGCAATAGAGCAACAGCCTTATCAGTTAATAGACGATTACACTGGAATGTCAGCCTTTCTCTGCGCTGCCATTTAAACCAATAAGAACCACTCTCCAGCCCAAAATGAGGACAGCCAACAAATGAAGAACTGACCACTAATTTATTCGAAGATTTAAAAAAATACTAAACACGGGAGCGACAAAGCCAAAGTGTGTGATGGACTACTCTCTCTACATCAAGGTGGGGACGGCCCAGAATTGATCGGGAGAGCTTTTTGTTTGCCTTGCATGCCATATCGTTATCTCCCATTAAAGGAGTGTGTACACAGCCATGTACCCAGACATAAATCATAGAGCTTGGGCTCTCTGAGGCTTAAGGAGGAGCAATCAATTACATTCCAGCAGACATAGAGGAAGTGCCTGAGCCCACTCCCTTAGCTACTCTTATTATCATATTCATCCCCCTTAAGTGATGCAGTCTGGGACACAGACACCACTGTGTGCCGCACTGAGATGCAATCACAAACATTCAAGGCAGTGAGACAATAAGGCTCTTGGCAACATGGAAAGACAAGCACAGAGTCAGATCAGTGTCCACAGGCTTGTGTGTCTGTAACAACATAGATTAAGATACTGAACAAATATGTGCTGTGATAGTCAAAAGTATCTTACAGACCAAATCATCTCGGATAAACAGATGTATCATTGTAAAGTTGTATATCATCCATGCACTGATAACGTTTGATAAGCCACTGTTCTGTTTTCTTAATGAGACAGTGGTAATTATTCTGTTAACTTTTCTGAGAATTAGGCTCTTTCTGTGAGGGGTGTGGGGGAGATAGGGGCCAGGGTGAGTCAGTGGCCCCTGGGTGGAGTGGTCAGTCAAGTGTGGACACCACTCAGCCATGATTCCACTGACTTTACGGCCCCATAGACATTGGTGATTCAACGACATGGACAAATCCTCTTGCCAATAACGGTTAATGACATTTCAAGAAGGGACAAGTTTAGTAGCATCACCCTAAGCACATAACCACTGCAATTTTTTCATTTCAAAACTTCCACTGAGATGAACTGAACATCCAGCCTTTGTGTTCCTTTGAATCTGCTCAGCAGTCTGTGGAGAAGGGCAGGGCATCCCCGACGGAAGATTCAATCCACATCATGACTATTATTAGTAATAGGGTGTTGTTAGACTGGGGGCATAACTACGGCGCAGTGGGAGGACAACATCGCCTTTTGGCCAATAGTTTAGCTGTATTTAAACAGAAGACAAGGATGAAAACGGGAGCCAAAAATGCAGTCCTTAAAGTTCCTTACACTTCTTACTCATTATTCTACAAAGAGAGCATTGCAAAAATAGGCCATGCAAACTGATAAAAGTGTGAGAGATCTACATGATCTACTGGGTGTATTGAGACACAGTGAAAAGAGATCCCCAGAGAACATACTCAATATCCTTCCTCTGTTCAAACTAATGGCCCTCATCTTTCTATAATTATGAGTGAGTGAGGCTTTCTTTTGGACCTCAGCTGAGATTATGCAGTCAGTACCTGAAAAAACAATGCCATGAATTGTCAGGCTATTGTATGTTTGCTAGCTAATACTCTGTCAATTTTTAAATTTTTGTATTGAATTCCTGAATTTTTTATGTTGGTTAATATATACCATATCACACTGGTCCTTTACCAAGGCATCTTCAAAACTATGTGGATGCTGTATAAGAGTTGTGCTCTCCTTCACTCACCTGTCACCTACCCACATTGACTCAGTAGGTCTATCAAAAACCTCTTGCAAATGAAAAATCCCACACCAGTGTTTGAAAGCTCATCAAATATAAAACAATAATTTATTATTTCTCTCATTTTAAAAGACATCAAATTGGGTACCTAATTAAGGATTTGTTAAGCTGTGTTATTTGGAGTCCTACAAATGTAAGGTGACTACAATGTGCTTAAAAAAATAACACAGAAAGATTCTGATTTCAACAAATGTGTGACTAATTATCTGCTCTATCCTGATACATACACAATATCACTTCTTGAAGGTTGAATATGTAACATATGATACACACTGGATGTATAACTTTTGAAAAACAGCACCCTTTCAGATCGTCAATAACTAAGAAGTGTTTTGTTTACAAAGAACAATGAGGTTTAGTTACATGTACAAAAGTCCTCTCAAAAAGGATTATGTGTTGACCTTCAAGCTAAATATTTGTGTATTTCTTTCAATAAGCAAAAGGTATGCATAACAGTAAAATACTGATAAGAGATACTTATTAAAAATGAAAAAAATATGTAAATGTTGGCTGCTGTTTACTTATGGCACAGTCTTTACACACTTTCAAAACCTTCCAAAGACCCACATATTGTTGTGAAACACTATCAATATTTACATCTTAGCCATTTAGCAGACGCTCTTATCCAGAGTGACTTACAGGAGAAATTAGGGTTAAGTGCCTTGCTCAAGGGCACATCGTCAGATGTTTCACCTTGTTGGCTCTGGGATTCGAACCAGCAACTGGCCCAACACTCTTAGACGCTTGGCTACCTGCCACCCCAAGAGCAAGCACAAAGGTAGAAAGGTTATTGAAAGCTTTTGAAAACAGTCTCATAATCATCCTTATCATGTCAATCATCTTCAAAGTCGATCCATGGAACACTCTGTGGAGCATCTCTCAACCGTCTGCAGGGGTCAAAAGTTCATTTAGAAAAGGCTTTTCCTGTTTCATATTAACAAAATGTTGCCACATTGAACGAGGCAGGAATCTGTACCCCAATCGGTAGTGTCCTATTATTTACAGTACATTACACCCCAGGCCTGTCCTGTCTGCCTACTACACTGTGGTGACGGACAGGAGGGAGTTGTACACTCGCGTGCCATCAGGCGACTTAGCACCATGGGTCAAAAGTTCCTGGATAGTCATCCAATTGTCAAAAATTTTCTTGTTCCTCTTTTTCATCATCTTTTTGTGGCTCAGTTCGATGATGTTGGGCTCCTTCTTGTCGTCGTCCAGGCTGGCCTGTTCCTTCAGGCAGTCAGCGCGGCTCTGCTTCATGAACTCGCGTCGCTGCCTCTGCTCCTTGGCGCGCACCGCGTGCTGCTTCCTCTCCCCCTTGCTCCAGTACCGCCCCATCTTTAGCTCGCTGATGGCGTCGTCGTCCGTGGTCATGCCGCTGCGCTCCTCGTGGATACGCAGGGCGCGCTCCTTCAGCAGCTTGTCCCTGACAGGCCTCTTGGTGATGTAGCGCGTGCCGTCGCTGCGGATCTTTACCTTCCACTCCATTTTGGGATCCAGCATCTCTCCGGGGTTCACGGCGTCACCGCGGCTGATCAGACTGACCAGGCTCATCTGGCTCTGGGCGTACTCCACGGCAGACTTCTGCTGGATCAGCTGCATGTAGCTCTGGTAGTGCTGGGCGTGGGCCGGGATGTGGGCATGTTTGTACAGGGAACGGGGCTGGGCCAGCTTGTGAGTTGACTCTCCCAGCTTATGCTCCTTCCCCTCCGCCTGCAGGCCACACTCAGACTCCTTAGAGGAGGAGGGCCTGATTCTGCTGGGGCCACCGGCCTCCTGGACAGGAGACAGCAGGGGCTTGAGGATCCTGCTGTTGGGCCCTGCGCTGCTGGAGGCCCCGGACAACCCCTGGTTCTCTGCCCCCCTGCGGAGGGAGTTGTCTGGAGACAGCTCTAGGGTGAGAGGGGTGCTGCGGCAGCTCTCACCAGTGTTGTAGGCGCTGGAGCTGTCCTTGTCTGACTTCTCGGGCAGCTCTGTGATGTCGGAGAGCTCATGGCGGCGCGCGTCGATGCTGGTGTTGTAGTTGTGGAAGCCGCTGTTGTGCAGCATCCAGGACTCGCGGTACTGCTCCCTCAGCTGCTGCATCTTGTGGGCCCGGACGATGTTGAGGCACTCCAGCTCGATGCTGCGCAGCTCCTCGTTCAGCAGCTCCAGCTCCTTGTCCACCCCCTCCTCGGCCCCTCCAGCCCCGGCACTCTGGCAGTACAGGTCCTGGGGGCCCCCCACGCTCCTCACCTGGCACTTCAGCTCCAGGAGCTCTCGGAAGCGCTCACACTCGTCAGCGGGGATGCCCAGGAAGTCAGCGTGGTCGTAGTCTGCTGAGATGAATGACTCACTGCTGAAGGGTAGGTCAACGCTTCCCAGGGTGTCCTGGCTATAGGCCAGCTTCTGGTGGCTGCAGCTGCCCAGCGTGTTGGAGGCCGTGGTCTGGTCGTCCCCCAGGTTCTCCTGCTCAGAGCTCTCGTCATTGCGCGTGCTCTCGTCGGTGCGGCCCACCCCGCTGTCTTTCTCGTGGTGGTTGGACAACAGGGTGGCTGTGTCAGTCGTTCCACCATCTTCCTCAAGCTTCTTCTGCAACACCAGACAATAGGATTAATAATTGAATCACCTTCTAACATTATTAGATGTGTTTCCTCTGCAGTTATCACTGACTACAGTATGTGAACCTACCCACTTCAGTACTACTACATTTCGGTATGTAGAGTACTATGGGCCATTAGGCCAACTGAACATATGCTACTCTGTTTGGAATTGGCTCATCGTCAGTAACATGCAGGTGAGCATATGTGACTCTGTGATTGATTGTTGACTCATGCTGTGTGTATGTATGTGTATACAGTTCTGAGTGGTTCTATGCTGGCTGCTGTACACTACCTGCTGCAGCATGCTGGCGGTGAACTGCATGGCCTGATGGTGCTGCTGCTCCAGCATGTCCATGTGGAGGTCATCCAGGAAGTCATTCCTGTCATCATCCATCCAGCCCTCATCCAGCTGGGACACCGGGGTAGGAGAGAGGAAGAAAGAGGGAGGAGGACTTCAGTCTCTGCCAATTAAGGCTACAGTACAACTTAGGAAACAGACAACTACAATACCAGTCAAAAGTTTGGACACACTTACTCATTCAAGGGTTTTTCTTTATTTTATAATAGTGAAGACATCAAAACTATGAAATAACACATTTGGAATCAAATAGCCACCCTTTGCCTCGATGACAGCTTTGCACACGCTTGGCATTCTCTCAACCAGCTTCATGAGATAGTCACCTGGAATGCATTTCAATTAACGGGTGTGCCTTCTTTAAAGTTAATTTGTGGAATTTCTTTCCTTCTTAATGCGTTTGAGCCAATCAGTTGTGTTGTGACAAGGTAGGGGGGTATACAGAAGACAGCCCTATTTGGTAAAAGACCAAGTCCATATTATGGCAAGAACAGCTCAAATAAGCAAAGAGAAACAACAGTCCATCATTACTTTAAGACACGAAGGTCAGTCAATACGGAACATTTCAAGAACTTTGAACGTTTCTTCAAGTGCAGTCGCAAAAACCATCTAGCGCTATGATGAAACTGGCTCTCATGAGGACCGCCACAGGAATGGAAGACCCAGAGTTACCTCTTCTGCAGAGGATAAGTTTAGAGATTAGAGTTACCAGCCTCAGAAATTGCAGCCCAATAAATGCTTCACAGAGTTCAAGTAACAGACAAATCTCAACATCAACTGTTCAGAGGAGACAGTGTGAATCAGGCCTTCATGGTCGAATATTCACTTTAATAATGTTTATATGTCTTGCACTACTCATCTCATATATATATACTGCATTCTATTCTATAATATTCTACTGTATCTTAGTCCATGCCGCTCTGTCATTGCTTGTCCATATATGTATATATTCTTAAATCCCATTCCTTACTAGTTTTGTGTGTTTTAGGTATATGTTGTGAAATTGTTAGATATTACTTGTTAGATATTACTGCACTGTCGGAGCTAGAAGCACAAGAATTTCGCTACACCCGCTATAACATCTGCTAAACACGTGTATGTGACAAATCATCAAAATTGTATTTTATTTTATTTGAATAGCTGCAAAGAAACCACTACTAAAGGACACCAATAATAAGAAGAGACTTGCTTGAGCCAAGAAACACGAGCAATGGACATTAGACTGGTGGAAATGTGTCCTTTGGTCTGGAGTCCAAATTGGTAATTTTTGGTTCCAACTGCCGTGTCTTTGTGAGACGCGGTGTGGTTGAACGGATGATCTCCGCATGTGTGTTTCCCACCGTAAAGCATGTAGTAGGAGGTGTTATGGTGTGGGGGTGCTTTGCTGCTGACATTGTCAGTGATTTATGTAGAATTCAAGGCACACTTAACCAGCATGGCTACCACAGCATTCTGCAGTGATACGCCATCCCATCTGGTTTGGGCTTAGTGGGACTATCATTTGTTTTTCAACAGGACAATGACCCAACACACCTCCAGGCTGTGTAAGGGCTATTTTACCAAGAAGGAGTGTGATGGAGTGCTGCATCAGATGACCTGGCCTCCACAATCCCCCGACCTCCACCCAATTGAGATGGTTTGGGATGAGTCAGACTGCAGAGTGAAGGAAAAGCAGCCAACAAGTGCTCAGCATATGTGGGAACTCCTTCAAGACTGTTGGAAAAGCGTTCCAGGTGAAGCTGGTTGAGAGAATGCCAAGAGTGTGCAAAGTTGTCATCAAGGCAAAGGGTGGCTATTTGAAGAATCTCAACTATAAAATATATTTGGATTTGTTTAACACTTTTTTGCTTACTACACGATTCCATATGTGTTATTTCATAGTTTTGATGTCTTCACTATTATTCTACAATGTAGAAAATAGTAAAAATAAAGAAAAAATCTTGAATGAGTAGGTGTGTCCAAAATGTTGACTGGTACTGTATAGACAGTCTATGCATCAGTGGAGGCTCCTCAGAGGAGGAAGGGAAGGACCATCCTCCTCAGTGAATTTCATAAAAATAAAAATGGTAAAACATTGAAAAAGTTATTATTTTTAGATAAATATATTTACATGTCCCCAAATAATTTATTAAAACACACTGTTTTGCAATGACGTCCTACAGTAGCCTCAACAGCACTCTGTAGGGTAGCACCATGGTGTAGCCGGAGGACAGCTAGCTTCCGCCCTCCTCTTGGTACATTGACTTCAATACAAAACCTAGGAGGCTCTTGGTTCTCATCCCCTTCCATAGACTTACACAGTAATTATGACAACTTCCGGAGGACGTCCTCCAACCTATCAGAGCTCTTGCAGCATGAACTGACATGTTGTCCACCCAATCAAAGGATCAGATAATAAATCTTGTACTGTAAGCATAAGCTACAGCTAGCTAGCACTGCAGTGCATAAAATGTGGTGTGTTGTTGATTCAAAGAGATAGAAAGACAATAGTTGAATAGTTTTCAACAAATTAATTTCTTCAAAAATGAAGGAGAAGCAAGAGCGAGAGAGTCATTTTCTTTCACTTTCAGTTTCACTTACTTAGCTAGCAAATGCAGCTGGCTAGTTTAGTTACTCAAACACCCGGCTCAAACAGAGGGATGCTATGTTAGATAGCTGGCTATGACTATCCAACACAACACTGGAACTCTTCCAAGTCAAGGTAAGCTTTTGGTTTTATTAATTTATTGCCACCGGGGCCCGCCAGTCTAACTGCTTACTGACTATACACTGTAACGTTACTGCATGATTGTAGCGGGTTTACTAGCGCATTAGTTCTATTAGCTATGTTGACTAGGACGTTACTTTAGCTAATATGGGGACGATGTAGGCTGTGTGTAGCGGTTATGACATGGTTTGGCTTGGAAAGGTTTTTTCGCCTGGTCACATACAGCTGATGTGTTGTTCATTAAAGTCCACAAACAAAGGGAAAAAGTGAGAGGAGGAGAGTGCATAGAGGCTAGAATGAATACAACGTGGCTGCTATGAAAGTGAACTCTGTTTATGTGTGATCAGGGGTGTATTCATTCCGCCGATTCTGTTGAAAAAGTTTCTTAAACGGAAGCAAGCGAAACAGGGATAAAAATACCTGAATTTGTCTAATAGAAACTGTTGGACTAATGATTACACCCTAGATAAGCTGGATGCAGGCATGAGTGTGCAAGGCGGTATTGAATGTGTCACTGTCTGTCCATGTGTCACTGTCTGTCATCTCACATTTTTATCTCGACCTGTGTGTACCTCTGTTGTAAACTTTAATTCATAGGCTAGGTTGTAGCAACCTCATGATGGGTATAGGGAAAATTTGAGTATCATGTAGTAGCCTAAACCTGTCGATGTTACATTGAACTGGGTGAATGGAATATGAATGACAGTCATCCAACATGCTGTAATAGAAAGAAGGCCATGCTCATGAAGAAAAAAAAAGGTCCCCCCTCATCATAAACGGCACTGACCGCCACTGCTATGCATGCCTAGTACTATAAAGGATTCTAGGAGGTGGGTGGTGAGTTTACCTGGATCTCTGGTCTGGCCACCAGTAGACACACATTCTGATTCTCCTCACTGGTCAACAGAGCCACAGCATCCTCCCGGTTCTGGATCTCAATCCCGTTGATCTGCAGAGAGCAGAAGGAATGGAATTAGAGACGGGCTCGGAACCGGTAATGCATTCATTGAAAGTATTGAGAGTGTTCTTTATCCTTACCTGGATAATTCTATCTCCCTCTCTGATCCTGCCATCCTTTGCAGCGATGCTGTTTGGGTCAATCTAAAGAAAGAGAGAACAGGAGAAGATTTTTCATTTCAAGCAGACCTTTGGTCAGAGAAAACGGAAAACATTTCTGTTTAGAAGTAAATGCAATTCTTATCTGCAGGTTTTGATATTCCTAATTTAGAGGTGTGCCGTCTGTTACCATGGTGACCATAAGATGATAAATGAAGTTCTATACATCCATTATCCCGTTCTTTACACCCTGACAACAACATTTGGCTGTTGTTGAAAGTTGACCACATACTTCACTGACGTAGATTCCAGTCTCGTCCTCATCATCAGTCCTGTAGCAGACAGTCAACCCAAGCTTGTCCTGGATGTTATCTCTGTACAAATCCACTTCCTGCAACAAGGCAAAAACACAAAATTAAACATCACAGATCTCTCTCTCTCAATGTGTGGAGTGGAGTTCCATGGTTGCTGTTGTTTTCTTAAGACACACCCAGCAGTATATTGAGTTCAATCTAAGTCCACACACACACAATGATCCATTCATCACAATAATGACTCCAGTAATTGGGTGCAGCCTATGCCCTGTAACTTTTCTAGGGGACAGTGACAGGATGAGGGATGATCCACTGGCTTGCAGCTAAGCAGTGTCCCGTTTGTCACTAGTCAACACCTGTAATCTGTGAGATACCGACCCTGATACTATACCTCGGGGCCAGGGGTGGAGAGAGGGTTAACCCCCCAACGCAACTGTTCTCTACCACGGCAGCTGACTACTGAAATCTCCTCTAATCTCCAAAACAGAACACTCAGAATACACTGGGGTTTCAGACAGGGTTTAAAAAAAGAGGTATTTTCATAAACACATAAACAAAGAGTAAAGTGTACAAAATATGAGATCTAATTTTCACACGAGACAGTATAATATGTAATTGACTACCGTGGCTTTCGCTTTACCGTGCCGTTACAGTACAATACCCCTTTAAAAAAGGCCCTGACCTTTTGTCTGAATTGATAGCCAGACTAATTCACGCTTTTGTTGTGGACCTACATCATAAGCCGTTTAAATGTTGCATAACATCATTATGCACATGTTTTAACACAAGCATTTCAGTGTAAGTGTCTATGAATACTGGGGCAGGGAAGACTGAGACAGGACCCCTTCATTACAACTCAGAGAGTATCAACAGAGGCATCTTATTGGACTGCAGCAGAAAGGATGCTAGGAAGAACATCAGTGGGATGGTGGTGGTGAGCTAAGATCATCACATATTGTCCACTGTATTACGATCAGTGGCTCTGAGCTAGAGGGCTTCATCAGATCGACCTTGGATCTAGGACAAGGTAGTCTGTATACTGTGCATCTGCGTTTGGCTTGGACAGCTTGAACTCTCCGGCTTCATGTTGGCGATAGGTTATTAATGCACTGCAGTGGTTGGGAGGGGAGGAGGGAAAGAGGGGGAGCACCCTGAGACCTTGGAGTCTCTATCTCCCGTCTACATCCTTCCTCATCAGGGCCCCATCACGCCATTGTTAATGTGCATCATCAAATCCATCACTCTGGTTCCTATTATCGGTGCCATCTAATTATCCTCAGTGCATAAGCCTCTTGCAGGACCCCCCTCTAAAGCAAAGACGCATTAGGCGTTGTCACAAAATAAGTAATGATGTCACCACTTCGCATCTGCTCAGGGGTACTATGGAGCAAACAAGCCACTCGATTTCTGTCTGGCCTACATACTCAGTGTCGTTACGGGGATAGAGTGGGCTCAGCTCATTGATAACGGTGATATATTGGGAGAATGGGCCTTGTGGTGACTAACAGAGCCATTGGGACGGAGACACAGTGGCTCAGTGATGGGACGGCCAGAGGAATACGGCGTCGCATGTCTGAATGTTTATCTTCATTGAGAAGGGGAGAAAGGAGGTTAGGTGGAGAGAGTGGGAGAAGAAGAGAGGGGTAGAGCGAGAGAATAGGTGAAGGAGAGAGGGGGGACGGGTAGAGAAGGAGAAGGGGGAGAAGGGGGAGGGAGAAAGACAAGAGGGAGTCGTCTGTATGTTACCTCATATTCCAGCTCCTCTCGCTCTATCTCCTGCTGCATGCCCTCCAGGAAATCATTGGGGTCAAAGTACTCATGCCTGGGGGAATGCCTATGAAAGCAATTCAACACAATAAAGATAGTTCCTACAGGCCTTGTCATGATTAATCTGTTATTACACAGAAATACAATCACAATACATGACAGTACGTCAGTGTTAAGCTGGATTGAAATTAAATGATTCCATTGTCCATAACATAAATCTTACCAAGAGATATCTCATGCAACCAGAACTTTCAGTAAATTGGGAATCACTTGAGAATGGAAATCAAGTGCCCACATTCTTTTGTAAAAGTTTAATCTTAAATCAAGTTTTAAGAAGTGTTTTTGGCCTGAGGTTAATCAGAAATGGAAATGCCATGTTTTTAATTTGACTGAAATCAATTAAAAATAACTGCTCCTGACAATAATGTGTTTGAGTACCCAGACTCTGTGAGCTCCGGGCCACACATAGGCACGCAGCTAGCGGACGACAGACAGGAAGTACATCTTCATTTGGCCGTGTGCCCCAGGACATTCACATCTAACTTCCGTTAGAAGGCATGAATACCAATTTGTTCTTGTGAAAACACACCAGGTTCCATTTTAATGAACTGGCAAAGTGACATTTTCTGAATAGCTGTATCCAAATATTCTATCTTTACTTGAGCCCTGTCTGTACTGACCACTGACATGGTCAAAGGACTGGGTAAGTTTTCAACAAACTAGTTTTGCCTATCAAGTCCTTTTCCAATCAGTGACCGTAAAGGAAAGGAAATAAGAAAAATAAGGATCTTGTCTTTTAACCCCATCCCTCCACTTAACTCTAACCCAGACGATAAGACTAACTCACTCCTCAGGCATTAGGTATTGCTCCAACACAGCCACGGTGGGGGCGGCGGCAGGCAGCTTGGTGAGGGCCAAGATGTGTTGGAAGGTGATGTCTGTTTGGGTGCTGATGTCCACCACCTGCGTGTCTGAGGCAGGGCTGGAGGGTTTGGGGCGGGGGGCCCGGCGAAGCACTTGGACCATGATGGGCTCCTTGGCCGTGCGGAAGGCCTCCACTGCCTGGTCATGGGTGGCCTTGGACAGGTCCTTCCCATTCACCTGCACACACAGACAGAGACAGAATATGGTTAAAGGGATACTTTGGGATTATACTTATAGACTTCCAGTCGTACTGGACACAGAGACATAAAGATGGTATCCATGAGTTCATCGGACTCTGGGGAAGTAGATAAAGGGCCTCATTGCCAAAATCCCAAAGTATCCCTTTAACTATAGAAGAACAGCGTTAGGTGTCTGGATTTGACTTTGAAAGGTCTCTTTCTTTTCAGCACAGTGGTTATATGACAGTTTGCTTGTACACATTGTTGTAACAACGTGAACATAAACAGTACATGGCGTGATGAAACCGATTTAAATTACGCAGTTTATCTCTCTCTCAATTGCTTCCCCATCTCTCTCTCTTCTTAACAGGCTGGGGTTTATTGTAAGTGGATGGATATCTCTCCCTCATGCTACATAAGCCTTGATACCATCATAGCATAGATGATTAAACCCTCAGATCACTGGATGGGTGACTGTGGATTTCCACAAAACCAGGAGGAGAGTCTTCCAGCCTGGCAGTGGTGTGTGATAACGTTCTCCTGCCTCAGTCTGTTTTACAGGTTCACAACCCGACGAAGCAGAATTTAATCAAGACTGAGCCCCTCTTTAATTAATCAAGGTCGTTAGACAGGCTGCATCGAGGAGCCCTCATTTAGCTAAGTAATTTCTGAGAAGTGAAGAATCTACCCTCCCGTCAGAGATTAGCTGCTATGCAGGCTGCTGCAGTTTGTTAACCAGGGGAGATTAATTTGAGCAGTGGGCCGGGCTGCAGTGTCACACAGAAGAGGGTAATGAAGTTGGGATGAGCCACTAAAGCCAATCCCCTCTCCTTATCAATCCTTATAATGAAGAGGATGTGTCATTGGATCTCATGAGAGATTTACAGTTTGTTATACATGCATTGTTTAGGGTCATACATAATAGTCAAAATAGTATAGGACTTGAAATATAATTTCATTAAAACGTGTAACTATCCCTGATGTTTTTACATGACAAAACATGACAAAGAAAAACCCTGGAGAACTGTGTAGCATGCTGTGCATGTTCACCAGAGCAAAAATCATAGCCAAAAAAGAGCCCCCAAAAAACTAAGCAGGAAAGTCATTAAGATGCCAAGAAGACAGCACCACACGAGAAGATCCCTCCTCCTGCTGGCAGCGCTGCACGGCACCCTGGGTCAGCAGACTGCCTGCCTCTCCTCTTGGCTTATCAGGCCTCTTCCAGAGCCTCCGCCAGTTCCGCTCCCAATCAGTGCAGCATTTGGAATTTGTTCGTTTGTGATTCCTGGACGTGTGAGAGCTTTGATAGGATCTGAGCCCGGGGCTCTTTGCAGTTCAGAGGCTGGCCACGCTCTCCTCTCCCCTGCCTGCTTCTCCACACACACACACGGCAGCTAGGCCAGGGCCAAGAGTGCACACTGTGAGCTCCCTGAGAAGACTGATGAAACACTGGCTCAATTTATAAAGACTCAAGTGATGCAATGGAACATTTCTAACTCTGTTTCTCTCTCACACACACACATGCAAACACAGGATTAAAGCGTGGAATTGGTTGATACCGTTTCCTCTGGACATATTTGTCTCATTCTAATTCACAGCTTAACTGGGATATTGTAGAACAGGGATAGCAGCAATGTCAACCATGTCAAGGTGACTAAATGATGGCATGTATGCCGTCCTGGATTCTGGTTCGAGTCTGGTTGTGCTATCTAATACCCACTATAATATCCACCAACTTGCCAAATGTCTGTGGTAAATTTCCAAGTGCTCTATTGTAATATCTTAGAATGTGCTCCATTCTAAGACATTACCACAGAGCACTGTGCGTGTGTGTGGAGGGAGGAGGAGGGGACATTGTGCACTTCAACTTTGAAGAGGTTATGTGCTCACTAATAACCAGAGAGGATTAATGCTAATCCCAGTCCGCAGGATAATTGGATCATCTCAAATGGGTTCAACTTCCACATCACAACTTGGCCAAAAGTAAGAGCTTCCTTTTACAATTTGCATTGAATAATTGAGAGAAAATGGAATGAGAAGAGATGTGCCGAATCATTACGAGATTGAAAGAAAAACTTTTAAAAAGTAATGTGAGGATGAGTGTTGAGGAGGCTTTGAACACAGACTACACACAAAGAAGGTAAAAAAGTAAGTTCCCCGCTCCCCTTTCTCTGTCTCTTTTTGTCAATTTCTCTGGGTTAGCAGTGTTTGTTCAGATCAGCTGTGAGGAACAATCTTGTCTGTGTTTCCATCCCTCTCACAGACAGGCCTGGTTGCCCTGGAATCCCACTGCTCCTTGAAGGCAGCGACCCGGAGACAATGCCAGGCCCCTCCTGAAGAGCCAAGAGCATTCCGCCTCAGCGCCCTCAATGGGGGAGTCCCCTCCAAGGCAGGAAGGGGGTCCCACGGCCCTCATTCACCACCACCCTCACCTCTGACTTGGCACAGCCCAGAGCAGTACACTAAATAAGACATGCAGCACTCCCAAATACAATATGCACAGCTCACTATAGCGCTGTCCAAGCGAAACCACATGTCGTTATAACCCTTTATCTTCACAGAGCCTAAGCATTCACATTTGGTTGTTGAAATTGAATCACTGAATACTCTCAAACAGTAATGAACAGCAGTTTATGACCTTTTATCAGTTAAAATCAACATACTTCTAAAATGTTATCAGCTATAAAGTTTGCATAAGCATTATGCCAAGCACTAGAATCTGGTCTTCTGTTGACAGAAAGCAGCAGTGAGAGACATGTAGAAATGACTATGTAAACCTTTCATACAGCCCTCCCTCAGTGAAGGGTCTAGTAAATCCAATTTAATGACAAGAGGGCAGTGAGCTCAGCTCTGGAATAGTAATGAGGTCTGAATCAGTGGGACATGGTATGCTATATAGAAGACAAAATGTTCTGCATTTTAACATTGGTCATAAAATGAGCTATATCTTTGAATGTTGGACCTCAGAAATGTTACATGTCACGTCCTGGAGGTAATGAGGAACACAAATGGACAGCCCAGCCTTCCCTTATCCTCACTCAACCTCCCTCATCTCCACTCACCGCTAGAATGCAAATCAGTCCAGATGAAGACTTTGGCATGAAGGCAGCAGGTGTGTATGTGTGTGTCAGCCTCTCCCTGATTGCTGACCTGCTGCCAAATAGGCTTATCTGTCTGTTTGCGAGAACAGTCACTTTTCATTCTGGCACAAGACTGTAGCTGGGGGCTGCCTCAAGAGAACTCGTCATGTGGAAAAAACATCAACAGTACCAATTTGGAGGTGTATTATTTTCTATGTATTGTGCTGAAAATATTACATTGGAAAGGCATTACAAAAACTACACATTTGAGCCAAGCCAAGCCATACAATGCAACATGTTACATTTGTCTATGCTATAGAGCCTCTTCTCACTACGAGAGATTGCCTAGAGATTGAGGAAATACCCTCGGCTAGACCTTTTACTGGAATGTAAACTTGCAAACTTGTCACGTCTCGACTTCTACCTCCGGAGGTCATGCACGTCACTCGCCCGACAGTTGCCCTCAACCAGGCAGGGCAGTGTAAACAGAACAGTCTTGTTAAGCCCAACACTACTACAGAAGAAAATCGTAATAGCAGAGCAATGTTTTTGAAACAGCTGAAATGTATAGGCATATTCCTTATATTAGACTTGTTTTATTGAGTTTTTACTTGAAATTGCAGTTAAAGCCGGTTACTCTGAAATTGACGCCGCAGCTTTAAGGGAATCTCAGAACATAATAATTGTATTCAATGCAAAAGCAAGCAGGAACGCAAGCAGCAACTACACAGTGAATTAACAACTTTTTCAGTCGCAATTTGCTTTTTTTTCATGTAATTTGCATGATATTGATGAAATGAAGCATGGTTTGTTCTAAGCAATCTAGCAATGGTTCCGCTAACGTTGGTTGAAGTTAGTAAGTTAGCTAGTAAGTTAGCTAGTATGTGAGGAGGATGCAGACATTGTGTTTAGTTTGCTATCTACAGGTAACTGC